TAATCACATGACAGAATCCCTCGAAAATCACTATATGCATGGGCAAATTAAAAAAAAAAAATTGTCAATGTCATTAAATTTAAAGGAAATCTCAACGGTATTGCAGAGATCAATATTATTTTCTTCTCAACGCTTACGTCGAAATTCAACCCTTAACAATGTTTCGCCACCCGTAACTCAAGAAAAAATTCACAATCTCTCTGTGTGGAGCGTATATGGAACCCCTTTAGTTAATATCCTCCTCTGGGGTTCGATAACCTACTTTAGTTTGCAAATCGCGTGGTATAAATTGGAATTCGCGGAATATGCCGAAATGATGGAGAAGAAGGTCGCAACCCTGGAAGGAGAAATCGAGAAGCTGAAGAATAAGTCGCGAAAAGAAATGTAAAAGGTCGTTATTTTTAATAAATTCTATTAGGTTGCAAATATAGGCCTTTGTTGAATTGAACAATTTCTCAAATATGTCAGTTTTACGATAAGTAAGTATATTTACACTCATGCAGGAAAGTTTATAATAAATTTATTTACAACCAATCATTCAGGAAGCAAACTAATCTTTAACTGTTAGCCTGTAACAGATTACCTTTGCATCTTTTCCTATAAGGACACATTTCTGGATAATCATGCATTATCTTTTTTCCAATTTCTTTCAAATGGGTGAATAAAATTTAAATTTAACGTGTCAAAGATGACCTTTTCGCTCGTTACCAGAATTGGTGGACCAATCTCGCCAGTATTAGGGTCTTTTCGTGCAAATTTGGTTTCATTTAAAAGGTAGTTATTCTCGGATGCCTTTTTCTGCAAAATTCTGTAAAATTCGGTGTTTCCTGTCCATGCAAGAACTCCAAGCCAATACTGTTCATATGGCAAAATTCTGACCGACGTTAGAATTTGTTAGATTTAATGTTACCAGCAAACGAATTTCTTGTTATAAACCGTTATTTGTTGAATTACCGGAATTCGACTCGTCTATGTAAATGAGGATTCTTTTCTGTGTTCAAGCTTGGAATTTTGCAAATTGCCTGTGTATGTGAATGAAAAGATCTCGTTCGACATGGTGTTTGTTTGAAAGAATTTTTCAATCACCGTAAATAATGTGTGTATCTTACACTAAATTTGAAATTTCTTCTATGTACGTAATCGGCACATAATCCAGTATTTTTTAGGTTATCTAATATTCGTCTCATCATATTATCACCAGTAGCAATGATTTCTAGTTTAGTCGTAGTTTCGAATTCGGGATGCGTGATAAGCATCTTTAACTCCCGGCACCTCGTTGCACCACGACGACTATAAAAAATGTTTGAATTATTGAACTACCGAACTATTTATCCGTGAAAGAGAAAACTAAATTGACATCAATTACAATATACATAAGCTTACAAACTACCGCACGGCATACATTCATATTTGTCGTCCATCGAAGTTAGATTTTTAACGATAAATGACTAAATAAAAAATCTCATTAATGACTTGGATTCGTGGAATATATACTGTATATATATATACAGTATGTCGAAATGACTCACCCTTAAGGAATCCAATTCTTCCCTTGACGCATCTTGGTCAAGTTCTGAGATATATGGAATTCCAAATTTTTTATGCGGTTCTATCCTTGGATCATTTACCATCTCTTCCAAGGACTTGTACCCTCTTTCAATTAATTTTTGCGCACTCTTTTTTCTTCAGCAAAATTTAATCAGTATCACAAGTGCATACAAAGGAATTTCTCATCCACGAATTTATTATTTTACCCTATTTCTGGTAGTTTCATAAAAAGGTCCACAAGTTTTCTTTGATCACCACCATCCCTTAATTGCGAACATGTGCCCTATTTAATTTTGTAGAATGCCATAATTCGCGGTTTATATTTTTGATCAGACAGAAGGGTGCATTAATTACGTACTGTTTCTATGATTTCGTCTATTTTCGTGGAAATGCCTTCGCCAACTCCC